GGGAGGTGCCCCTGCCCATGGCAGGCAGGTTGGAACTACATGATCTTTAAGGTCACTTGCAACCCAAACCATTCTATGAATAAAAGAAATTTAATTTCCTAAGTTAATAATATATGATTATATGCAGTAAAACTGAAACCAAATTAATTTTCTCTTTGCTTGTAGCTCCTATTTACTCAGAAATTAAATGAGTAATGAAGTGTCCTGCTCTGCAGTCTTCTTTTTAAAGTGAATTTTGGAAATTGCCTTTATTTTCAAAATTCCCCTTGTAAGCTCATATGTAAGAAAGAGCGTATAAGGTAGTTTGACAGTAAATCACTCAGGTCATTTCTGAGTGAATACAGAGCAGTTTTTAAAACTTGTATATATCTTACATGTTCGAATTTTTCACATACTTCGGTGGTGGAGTTTTTTTCATTGCTAGTAGAAATATTCCTTTTATGGAAAGTAAGTTATATTATTTGTGTATTCTTGTAAATTAAGTAATCGCTGATTCTAGAAATTAATTTATTTCCTAATTCTGTGCTCTTTCAGAGTGTATTTTACCTGATTGTTGCTGACCTTTCATAAGTTTACACATTATCAGGTATGGTGGTGCCCTTGAAACAGGTTTGCTAAATGATACAGTTTTACTAATATTGAATACGACTGCTAATTTTAGTGCTAATCTTTTTTTAAAAAAAAATATTTCCAATATCATTGAGATACATGAACCTGTTGTCAGAATTTAAGTGTACCTGCATTGCTTCAGCAGTTTTACTGTCAACATTCCCTGTGATGAATTTGTCATTCTTTCTTTAATGAAAGATTTTCCTTAAGCAAAGCATTTCCCTTGAGCTTTAGGAATTAGAAAAGCAATTTATCAGGATACATGACAGTTGAAATCATGGTTGCACTTGAGACAGCAATCTCTCCATGATACTGAGGACAATAGGTTTTCATCTACTGATTTTCATTTAAATGAAACACCACTTTTTAATTATTTTTGTTTACTGAGCCCTTTCTATGCATTGTTGTGGATATTTGAAAAGTTTTAAGGGCCTTCTATTTTAAATATAAATACTTGAAATATAAATACTAGTATTTTGGGGGATGTTAAATTAGTGTGCTATTATAGCTCCCATTTTCCCTGCTTTTCTTTCTCCCAGTGCTAGTTTTCCAAGCCAGATCATTACTTCGGGTGTGTTAGAACAGCATCCCACGTGTATTTTTAATTATTAACAGCTCTTTTTGAGTGTTAAAATGTCAGTTCAAAATACCATGCCAGTGTACTTAATGTGCCCTTTATTCTAATATGTCATTGTAATTTTAAACATTTTTATTAGTATTTGCTTTTTTTAGCTGCATTTAGTGTTGCAAACATTTAATTCAATATAAATTAGAATTTTGAGGTTTTTGAAAGGAATTTATTTTTGAATTGATGAAGACAGAGCAAGTTACTGTACTTTGAACTGTTACCAGTACTACTGTGTTGTAGCTCGAAGACCTTCAATTATATTTCTAAGTTATATTCAAGAGAAATGCAATTGTCTAATCATGGACAGAAGTGCCGAAGGAAAATCACCTCTGTTATATGAAAGTAATAAAGAGGAGAAGGCATATAAGCAATGCAACAGTAAATTTATCTGTGCCATGGAACAGAAAAATCAAAAGTTAGCTTTCTTTTATCTCTAGCATTATCTTGATGCCCAGCTTTTGATGTATTTCTCAGTTTTAGTGGTTTTCCTTTGGATTTCTGTAATTTTGTTTACCCCCAAAGAGTAACATGTCAAAGGCCTCTGTCTGACTCCAGTTACAGACATATCATTTTGGAATGATTAGCGAGTGATAGGCCAGAACAAATGTTCCTAAAATTGTCTTGCAGGTAAGACAAAGGAGAGAGAATTTTTGCAATTTTAGAGCTTGTGTGGGGCAGTAAGGCCTAATGCCTGTTTCTTAAGGAGAAACAAAGTTAGCTGGAAATCATAGATGTATCAGGTGGAAGGCTTCCAGGAGGTCTTGCTCTGTGATCTTCTCAGAGATGGAAGTGAGGATGGCTTGCAGGTAGTTCCCTGTGTTGTCCTTCTTGCTGTAAGATTTACCTTTCTAAAATGATTGAGGAACCTCCCGAGGCTTCACAACCTTTTGAAGACAATAAGGAGCAGCCTCACGATGATGCCAGCCAGCCCTCCTCAGATGTGTCCTATCCACTTCTGTGGACTTGCATAAGTTAAAGAACAGCGTCCAAGTGAGGGAAACGGGTT